ACACACACACACACACACACACACGCATACACACATACACACACGCACCAACACACAGACAGACATACACCCTCATACTAACACGAACACACACACACACACACAAAACACACACACACATACTCGCTCAATCACACATACATACACACATATAGACATATACCCGCATACTCACACACAAACACATCCATCTACCTGCCCACCCCTCCCACATACACGCACACATACACACACACACACACACACACACACACACACACACACAATCCCATCGACACAAATAAATGTATCATTTAGTCAGCAACATGCCAACAGCAACACAGGCTGTGTGGTGTTCATCTTATCAAAGGAGAGTTTGGTTTTAGTAAGAGTTTTACAACACTTGCAGCACGGTTAGGTCATATGAGTGTCGCAGATTAGAAGTGTGTTTCGAGACAGTAACAAACACAAGAAAGAAAGAGGAGAGGTCAGGACAACATACGTTTGATAGGGAAAGGGGAACAAACCACTCCAGAGCACCAGTCACCATCAACTCGGAAGGACAGGGGGCATTCCAAATACCAAGTATTTCTTAACACAAAAATTGAAGTGACATTTACAATACAGGGTTGGCTATTATGAAAAACATGCAGACCGACTTGACAATTAATTTATTTTCAAAATATCTACGCCGGTCGACCCGCGCGTCTGATACGTTTTTTTAAAAGCCCTCTATGCCTCACACAATAGCCACTTGGGTATTGTAAGCGTTTATTTTCAGAATCGTATCACCTCCAACAGAAGACCTACAGGACTTCAGAGAATTACATTATATTATTACTCCTTCTCTGCCAATCCATAAGATTTCTATGGCTTCTGAAGGAGATGAATATTATCTGAGAAAAAAATGTTCATAAGAACAGCACGTTCTTTTCATGATGCCGGAGTTTGCTAGTGTAAGTTCAACGACTTGGCGAAAGCTACAATACCGATTAATGAGCAGGTTGTACTCATGTTACGAGGACTCTGACCTCCAACGGCGCCGTCCTCTTCTCAGAAGTCAGTGTTCGGAAAAAGGAAGGGACTTCTTTCTCTCTGTCTGTCTCGTGGTCAGGCTGTCTGTCTGTCTTTCTCTCTCTCTCTCTCTCTCTCTGTGTCTGTCTCTCTCTCTGTCTCTCTCTATCTCTCTGTCTCTCTCTCTGTCAACCTCTCTCCCTCTCTCCTCCCTACCCCCCCTCTCTCTCT